ATCATCATCATCATCATCATCATCATCATCATCATCATCATCATCATCATCATCATCATCATCATCGTCGTCGTCGTCGTCGTTGCGACAAGAGGCTTAAACCAAACAAACAAACAAACAAACAAACAAACAAACAAACACACTTACCAGATCTTCAATGGCCTGATTCAGACGAACCTCCTGTGAGAGTAAAAGAAAGAAAACACAGAAAAGAAATTATGATAAATGGTAGACTTTTTAGCTAACGTTACCTCTGAAACCTTTCGAAAACACATCCTCCAACCGAAAATAATATCTCAAAGTTTGAGTCAAAGTCTTCCATTCAAGATAGATCTAAATGGTATAAGTTTAACGCCCCTATCAACACCATTAGGCTATTTAAGAGGCGGGACCTCCGAGTTTAACGTCCACCTCCGAAAAGACCGAGCCAAGTGGGAAGTTCGTGTAAAGTGCCTTTCCCAAGGACACAACGTCGGACCGAGCTGAGGCTCGAACCCCCGAACCCGCAATCTTATGATTACGAGTCCGGTAGCCTAACCACTAGGCTACCGACGCCACCCATTCAAGATAGATGGATACTTCTTCATCGAAAGCAAGACAAATGGGCAAGCTTTAAGATGATGCAAAAAACAACAACAACAACAAAAACAACTGACGAGCGCCTGATTCCCCCACGTCCTGACCAAAGAGGTTGCATTTAGAACTAGAGTTCGTGGCAGTGATGTCCCCCACGTAAACGAACGGGGGCTGCGTGTGCCCACTGTGGGATGCTGAACCTCATGGGTAAGATATGCGCAGTTCATCAACAGACGGGTGAGTACTTTTCGAGACTCACGTGGAGGCGTCTCAGCGGTCTCGGTAGAACATCTACAAGCTTGCACTGAAATGTGGGGGTAGGGTGGCGTTTAATAAATACTAGATCTCGAGGGGAGCGGGGTGGGGGCTCAGATTGTTCATGTTAATGGAGGTGCACCGGCCATGCCGATGAGGGTAAGAAGGCCCTATGTCGTACATGCGTGACGTCACTGCTGCGGGCTCTTGTATCATATATACAACCTCTTTGGTCCTGACACATTTAGTCTAAGAACTAGAGCAGATACTCACAAAGTCCGAGGGAGCAGGCTGGTCGGAATTTGGCTGTTCCCCATTTTGATCTCCAAACTCTTCAAGCTGAAAGGAATACATTTTTTAGAAAAAAAGAAACGAAATGGAACGACAAATTAGTCAGTTAATCAACACAAAAATGAATAATATATAAGCAGAAAAAACAACAGAGAAAAGCATGCTCGTACTATCAAAATAGTAAGATTATACGGAGTCGTTATAAAGATACTCAAAGAATTGCATTTGAAAAAGCTTGACGTAATGAGAAACTCAAAATCCTTGACGTCAAATTCCTCAAAACTAGGTACTGAGTTGATAGAACTTAATGATTCTGAGATAGCAAAGTCTGCTTGCGCTGCCCCCCCCCCCCCCCCCCCCCCCCCCCCTGAATTTTCCCTTTAGACACATTAGACATTTAAAATGTATAAAATTTATATTACGTACTAAGAAAAAAACAACCTGAAATCTTTTTGAAATGTAATTTATGTAAAGGCTGGCGGACTTTCATTTTCGGATGGAGCCACATTTTGGATTAGTGATCATTTTTACACCTCTGAAGACCTTCAGCTAGATAATCTTCAGCGCTTATATGACCGTATGGTGTTTCAAATGCCGTAAAACTATTACTAAAAACAGAACTGGTTTTGGTGCATATGGACGCTTTCGTCTAGTACATACCACATACGTAATTATAATAATAGTAACCATTACTTACAGCAAAGAACATTATATATTATGTATATTCTTAGAGAACTGAAAAATGTTTAAGTTAAAGACACCCCAAACTCAAACTCTGTATTGTGTATAACCGAGAATGGCCATTCTATGCATGTACATATTAACCCTATCCGTACGTCGTGTTTTACTGTCGTATCCATACGACGTGGGGAAGTCTGTGCCACCACTTTTCAAAGAAGAAATTTACTCGTTAATCAGATCCCTACGCTTTTTATAGCAGTCTGTCAAAATGATTTTTTGAGAAATACTGAAAGTTTCAAAGAGATCTTCGTACTAGATCAAGAAGTACATGTATTCTAAAATGTGAAGAATACAATCCCTGGGGTACAAAATGACCCCAGGCCATACGGATAGGGTTAAGATTTTCCTCTTCATTACACTACAAAACTTGGGTCGGGTATGGTCAAAAAGAGATTTTAAAACAGCGGGGTGGGGAGCGGATGTAGGCCCCCTTACAAAGAAGTTTATGTCCACTTTTGAATTAGATCCAGCATTTCTTCCAGGATTAATATGGAGTTGAAAAAGAATGACACACATGAGCTAATTAAGATAATTTGGATAGTTATGATTATTATGATTGTTGTTGAGGATTAGATTTACATTAGGTCTAGCATTTTAATCATTTCATAAAGGACGGCTATTCTTAGACTTAGAGTCAGCAAAGAAACTACAGATGAAAATCATACTTACATGTTGGTCGATTTTTTCTGCAAGTTTGTTTTTCTGAAAAAGAAAATGAATACAGGTATTACTTGTTTCTACAAAGTACAACACACACACACACACACACACACACACACACACACACACACACACACACAGACATACACACACTCACACATACACACACACACACACACACACACACACACTTACATTCATACACACAAACACAAACAAAAATACAAAAACACACATACGCACATTATATAAAATAAATTTAAAAATTTGTTACAAGCGAAATCCCAGTAACATATTATACAAATTAATGCCATTGAATTGTTGTAACAACTAAACTGCTTTCTGCCATTCGTCTATTCTTGACCACAAAATTTGTTATTTTTCAACCCAGTTGTGTGTTGAGGGACAAACCAAGGCGCAATTTTAGATTTATAATTTCTAGCATGTCATTATCTTCTAGGATAGTTTAAAGAAAAACGCATTTTAGATTTCCACATGTCCTAATAATTTCAGTAGTATAATTTAAATCAATATGCATCAATAAGTGCATTAGAAATAGTTGATCATTTATTAATACAAGTGTAGTAAAAAAAAAAAAAACCCAAAAAAACAACACTCAAAAACAAAAACGGAAAAGAAAAAGAACATAACTTACTTGTTCTTGAAGTCTTTGCTCTCTCATCTCCTGTAGTAAATAGAATACAAACAAAAAAATTTCGCTTACTGCCTGACTGACTCACCAAGCCTCTGACTCATCTACTGTCTGTCTGTCTGTCTGTCTGTCTGTCTGTCTGTCTGTCTGTCTGTCTGTCTGTCTGTCTGTCTGTCTGTCTGTCTGTCTGTCTGTCTGTCTGTCTATCTGCCTGTCTGTCTGTCTGTCTGTCAGTCTGTCTGTCTGTCCGTATTATTTTCATCATCATCATCCTCATTATAATAATATTATTATTATTATTATTATTATTATTATTATTATTATTATTATTATTATTATTATTATTATTATTATTTTATTTCATTTTTTATTTTATTTTTTCTTTATCATTGTTACTCTTTATTATTATTAATATTATTATTATTTTTGTCATTATAATAATTATTATTATCATCATCATTATTATTATACTATAATTATTATTACCATTATCGATATCATTTTTACTCCACTCAATGAACCTTGTTCTAATTTCTGGTCAAGTATGTCAGTAGTGCATACAGAGCTCCAATTTTCATGAAAATAACAATTTAATTAATAATGAAAATAACATGAAAAACAGTAATGAAAATAAGAATGAAAAACCTACTTACAGCTTGCTCAGGGGCACTCTCCAGCTGTGAAAAAAAAGACAAACAGGTTCATTATAATCATAGAATCTAGGGTATCTTGCATGTGAAGGACTAATACACAGAGGCGATATAAAAAGGTCGCTTTTAAGCACAAGGGGGCAAGCCCGAAAAATGCTGTTTTGAGAAAATCGAAGGTAAAGTTGTTGCCCCTTGTTCAGTCTCTTTGAAAGACAAGGAGCGTTTTCTCTATAGCCAAACTCATACTATACACACCAATGAAACCAAACGTCTTCTATAGGTAAGGCAATGCTCACTTTTGATGTAGGTCTAGATTTCTGGAAACCCCCGAAATTTGGGTTCACCTCCTTGTCCTTAAAAGTGACCAAATATATTTTATACTAAGTAAAGTCGTGTGTTCATTTATTGAAGTGTTTTCGCCATCTTCCTGTAGATATTCACAAACGCAATAAATGTTCCTTTTTCTCATCGTCTGTCCCTCTCGCTAACACTCTTTCTCTCTCTCTCTCTCTCTCTCTCTCTCTCTCTCTCTCTCTCTCTCTCTCTCTCTCTCTGTCTCTCTCCCTCTCTCTTTCTTTCTCTCTCTCTCTCTCTCTCTCACACACACACACACACACACACACACACACACACACACACACACACAAAAACAAACACACACACAAATGCAAAAGAAAATCATTTTTCACCCCCACCCCCCAAAAAAAAATTAAATTAAAAATAGATAAATAGACAAACAGATGAATAGATAAATAACTAATTAAATAAATAGATAAATGTAATTAATTAAGTAATTAAGTAATTAATAGACAAATAGATTTTTAAAAAAGTGAATAATTGTAAATGAATTTAATTGATTAATTAATTAATTAATTAATTAATGTTATAGAAATAAATAAATAAGCCTCACCTTATCTGTAAGGTTTTCATGTCTCTCAACCTGGAACAGGAAGAAATAAAAGTACAAGAACAGAGGTCAATATCGATCGGCGAGTAAAAACTAAAAGTAGCAATGGATGGGACACACCCCCTCCCCCAGAAAGCCCAGCGGAAACATCACAAGACAGTCGCTGCAGTGGAACCCACAGGGAGCACGAGGCAGGGGTGGGCCACAAGAAACATGGAGGAGATGTGTGGAAAGGGACATGAGAGAGATGAAGCTCACTTGGAACGAGCTTGGAAGGATGGCCCAGGACAGAAATAAATGGAAGGAGCTTGCATGTGGCGTATACCCTGCCAGGGGTGGAAGGTATTCATGATGATGAAGTGTAACTGAATACGACACGTTCATTGCTGCTTCGATCGCCGTCTTTGGTGAAATGGTATATAGAGTCTGTTTAACGCCGCTATCAACACTATTAGGTGATTCAAGAGGCGACACCTCTGAGTTTAACATTCCAAAAACACCGAGCCAAATAGGAAATCTGTGCAAAGTTTGTTGTTGTTGTTGTTGTTGTTGTTGTTGTTGTTAAAAATGTTAAGCTTATTTCGTCGGTAAAACTGGCAAACTATAGGTAGATATTATCATTATAAGGACCCCCCCAAACCCCCCCCCCAAAAAAAAAAAACAACAACAAACAAACAAACAAACAAAACTAAACCATACTAGCGTCAACCGACTGCGCAGCTGTGCAATGCAGCTAGGGCACTTAAGTTTGAGGTCCCGCCCCTTTATTTCTCCTGTTTCAACACTTTGCAGTCACACAGCCAGCGGCAGTACAAAATACCCCATCTGGTCACCCAGCCAGGAGAACGACTGCAACGGTCTTCTCGGGCCTCGGAAGGAACAATTTTTACCAGCGAATTATTGCACCCAGTGACTGCAAAGTGTTTTAAGAACTTACCAGATTCTCAATTCGTTTTTCTCGACGTTCATTTCGCTTTTGTTCACGTTCGTTTTGTCTTTGTTCACGATCAGCTTTCTTTTGCTCGCGCTCAGCCTGCTTTTGTTCACGATCAGCTTTCTTTTGCTCGTGCTCAGCCTGCTTTTGTTCACGATTAGTTTGTCTGTTACGCTGGGGAAAAAGAATGGATTGAAATAGAAAACAAAATTTGAGGCTACCTTGAAACGACGCCCTAACAACATCAAACAATAAATATTTTGAATTATTATGTACGATTAAATGCATGCGTTATTGTGGGGGATCATGGCTTATCCTATAAATTAATTTGCAAAGCAGTATAGCCATGAGCTTCAATTGCAAATTTCACAAGTAGAATAATCAGCTGAAGTTTCACGCTTGAGATATCAAATATCCTTTTCAGTTTCTCGTACACTAATCGGGACGACGTGGTGGAATCAGGAGCTCGTCAATTTTGTAGCCTAATATTATGAAAGTATAGGAACACTCTTAAACTTTCCACCCACGCAGCGTACAACACTTTATTCCCACTGACCAGGATACAGGTGCGGTACGACATGCTATATATCACACCGTCACCGATCGGCGTCCCGTGGGGAAAAGGGACAGCTTCTTACCGTGGCCGATCGGCGTCCTGAGGGAAAAGAGACGGCTTCTTACCGTGGCCGATCGGCGTCCTGAGGGAAAAGAGACGGCTTCTTACCGTCACCGATCGGTGTCCCGTGGTGGACAAAGTGCTTAAAGTATGTTCATTAATTTTGTACAGTCACAAAATAACAGCTTGGTTAGTGGATGCATTTTATTTTAAAATCTCTGTTTCTACCGTCATTTTGCTATTTTAGAAGCTCTTCATAAAGCGAAAGAATAGTGATAATTGCAGGCTGGGGAGTACAGAGTATTTAATAAAATGTGATTATAATTGTAGAAATGAACAGGTGCTCGCCTCTGGTGTAATAGTAATGACTTGTTCGGAAGTTCTTACCTCTTGCTGTAATTTAATTCTCAGGCCGTTAATCTGTGAAACAAAAATATAAGCAATGAGTAACATGATTATAACACAAGGCCTATATTTTAAAATGATCATTTTAAATTGCTGTTTCAGTTCCTTGGAGTACGTTCAGCGTTGCAGACTGTTAGGAACAATACATGCAAAGCGATAATGTGGCCCTGTCGATTAGAATGCTTTGATGAAAAAATAACACTCCCGCGAATCGGGCTTCAAATCAAAAAGAAGACCAAGAACGACCTGGCTGGATGGAGTTATAGAGGTTCTGGAACAGCGTAACATTTCTGACACAGACGCCACACACTAAGCGCGGGACCGAAATCTGCACCTCTCCTCGATATCCTAAGGATACCAGAGAAAGTAAAAAGTGAAAGTAAACTTTTAAACTTTTTTTTAACTATTTCCTTATTCTGGTATCCTTAGGATGTCGAGGGGGAAAAGTAAAGTAAGAGGAAAAAATAAATGCTTTCTTGAAGCTACGAAGGGAATCATACATGTCATCCCGTCAGGGGCCCGACGCTGTGTCCTTGGGAAAGGCACTTTACACGAATTTTCCTCACTTTACCCAGGTGGGAATGGGTACCCAGCTATTGACTGCGAAAGATCTTGTCAGTTTGTTAGTGTTTGAGCGCTTAATCAGCTGCTTGCACTGTATGCTTCCCGGGAAGCTGAGAATGTTTCGAAGTGTTCTATGGTCTGCTGGGGTAATAATATAGTGTAAAGCGTAAAGGGCTTGCTGTTGAACGGGGATATGCGCTATACAAATGCTATTTATAATTATTATTATTATTATTATTATCATTATTATTATTATTTATTTTTTAAAAATCATTATTATTATTATTATTATTATTATTATTATATTATTATTATTATTATTATTATTATTATTATTATTATTATTATTATTATTATTATTATTATTTAGTTAAGGTTACCAGTACACACAGTGTCATTTGTGGACACATCGGTGCAACCTCCCTGTATACGAAAGGTGACTATAACACATGTCTGCTCTTTGGACATTTTTTCTAAAAGTCATCAAAAATGTCAACAACTGTTCTTCAAATACACCCTTTCGTCGTGACCTATACAATCAAATTTGTTTGATTGTACATGTACTTTGCGAAAAGTGCAGCTTTTGCCTCTCTTTGAATGAGCATACCTCGTGACTCAAAGACGTTTTTTAAAACTTGGTCATTTCTTTTCAGTGGGTGGTTGGCGGGTGCTCTGGGGTGGTTTGCTTCTTCTTTCCTATCAAACATCTATCGTCCTTATCTCCCCTTTTTCTTTTTCATGTTTGTTACTCTCTTGTAACATCTCTAATCTTCTGGCACTCACATGACCTTATGCAGTTGCGAGCGCCGTAAAACCTCTACTAAAACCATTTCTTTTCAACTTTCTCATTAGTCAACCGGCGCCTGTGGTGTCGCGGTTAGGCTCTCCACTGTCTTACGCTGGAGACCTGAGTTCCATTCCCGAATGAGGAGAAATTTTTATCGAGTATCGCGATCTTTCTGTTGGGATGTTGTATTCAAATGCATTCCTCTCAGTCCCGGGTTGGCCCTGACAGCCAGCAGGGTTAGAATCTTGCCTTTCTAAATGATATAAATTGTAGCGATGGAGGCGTTAAAACGCCTACATAAAAGAGAAAAAAAGGTTAAAACCCCGCCCCACCCCCTAAATAAAAGACCCTAAAAACAACAACAAACCAACCAACCAACCAACAAACCAACCAATCAACCAAAGAACCACTCAACCGACCAACCGAACAACCAACCAACCAACCAACCAAACAAACAAACAAGTAATTTAGTAAGCTTCTTACGGCACTTGCAACACAATAAGGTCATATAAGTGTCGAAGATTAGAGGTGTCACAAGAGAGTAACAAACACAAAAAAGAAGGAGGGGAGATAGGGATGATATATTTTTTTGTAGGAAAGAAGGAGCAAACCACACCAGAGCACCCGCCAACCGCCCACTACAAATTCGTAAACAAAAGACAAAAACAAGTAAAAACAAGAACAAAAACTAAACAAAAATCTTGAAAGGGTACATCTCCACATGATAGACGGACAAACACAAAGGACTGAGCCGTGCAAG